TTAAAGGTTATTCATTACAATATGCTTGAATAGTGATCAACGACTCTTATCAACACTGAAAGGGTACCATTCTTCTTATCTTCCGCTCTCTATGAACAAGGTTACAGAACCGTACGATCGTGCCGCACATCTTTAGGGCACGGAATTTATGCACGAGAGAGACCTGTGAACCACCAGACAACAACACCAGCAATGTTTGTTGAAAGACACAATAAACAACCAAGTGTTTTTTTTTTTATTAATTTATTTTCAAATAAACCTGCATCTATCTTCAGTATTTTCAGTATAAAAATTAATAAAAAAGTCTCAAATTTCGCACAGGAAAAAGGACCCACATGACGAAAATGAGCACAGGAAAAAGGACCCACATGACGAAAATGAGCACAAGTACTTATGGATCAACAGCTACATTAAGGTAGAAGCCTACTCATGAATTTAAAAACCTAGAATTCATTCATTTTGCAATAAATTGTACTCTAAGGCAATATAAGAATATTAACCTAAAAAAGTTGAGGGATACCAGCCTTTTTTTCGAAAAATTGTTGGTTGTATTTTAGTGGAAAGTCGCCATTTTGACACTATTATAACACTTTACCACAGGTTCCTATGGCAGAGATATTATGTAATATCTCAAAATCTAGCCTGGTGACATAGGCTGAAAAAAATCATGTATTGTTAATGATGGAGTACTTGTTGTTGTTCTGAATTATTTAAAAAATCTGGGTTTTAAAAAGTGTCAAAAAATGCAATTTTTCTTTAACAGTGTGTTCTATGGAATTGTTCTAAAAATAGCAATTTTCAAGAAATATTAGGACACGTTTCTCAAAAAGCATAATGTGAAGCACAAAATAATGCTATTTCATTGTACCTTAGGACATTAGCTTCATGATTGTACATAATAAACTAATTAACATTGTCATGCGATTTATGACCAATTTTGTCAAAAATTATGACTAGGTTTCTACCTTAAAGAGGCTAAGATTAGAGAGGTTAAGATTTCATACGTGTACGCGTACGCGTAACGTCATCAGTTTATGTGTTCACGTGATCTCAGACGTTCCAGCGCTGGCGTTCCTGATGTGTAGGTGAGTGTTTTCCCGTTCTTGACAAACATCTAGTATTTAGACCCTAATCGTATTTGAATTTATGAAAAAAAGTGTTGGAATTGTTTAGAGAATATTCTACATCTGTATTTCCATGACAAATTTGTCATGGAAATTAATTCAGTGGTCTCGTAAAAAACGTCAAATTTAGATATGACTATGACCTTCACATTACATGGATTAGCTGACACATGCCTCCCTGCTTTGAATAGTACAATTTTTGCAAATTAATCCATCAGGTAATATCACTGACTGTAAATTTAGGACATAAATTTATTTTTTAAAGACGTGGATATATTTTAAATGAGATTGCAATACGATATCTGTACACACCTCGACTGTCTCTTTCACGAATGCAGTTTTTGGGGTCATTTTTACTTAAAGGTTAAATACGGTCACCTTTCAACGAAATGGGGATAAGATGTACGCCTTCCACGAAACGTAAGTGCGTACTAATGGGAATTTTGCAGCGTGTACGTGAAATCTTAACCTCTCTATTGCGTCTTGTTAAACCACCGGTGGATTTGGTAATTTTTCAAATTATCTCCACAAGCATAATGCAGCATCTTTTGAAAACAAAAACAAACAAAAAAACAACTTATTATGAATTCATTAATTAATAACAATAAAACGGCATCCGGGTTATAAGCCAAAGTTGTGGTACTTATAGCAGAGGAAGTTAAAAAGTCAGATCAGATACTTTTGAACGGATAAATTAACATTTTTCATTTCCAAACTCAGTCAGGGTTTTTCCGAGGCTATTGACGTAAAAAAAACAAAATCGACATTCACCATGGTATCGCGTCAGACCACACATAAGCTAGATTGGTATTTTGTAAACAATTGTAATAATATTTCCATATTTTCAAGCAGTTAACTTACAACGTGTTCAGAACGCATGATTTAATTTCAAAATTGGTCAATATCCGAAGCGCAGGCAAATGGTGATTTTGCCAACTAACTAAATAAATTATCTGTTCAATATCATATAATATATGGAATATCTCTATGAATAGCTCTAATCCTTCCTCGACATATCAGAATTGCGCAACCATGTCGGATATTTAGTTGGTGATCCCGTATTAGTTTCGAAAGACGAAAGACACTACTTGGGTGTATGATTATTGTAGCAGCCCCTCTACGAGCAGACCACAGTCAGCTGGCGCACACGTGATAATAAAATAACTACGATATTTACTATATGGGGCCGCCATCTTGAATCCGGTATAAAACTAAATAAGAGACAAGAACATAGAACACTTTCCTGGGGTATTTGAAACCAAAAATTGTCATTGCAGCTACACAGCCAATCACCGACGGCCTTCTAAGTTAGGATGACAATTTCGGTTTCAAATAT